ACCGTGCGCCCGCCATCTCGGAGGCCATGTGCGAATTGCTCCGTGCGTCGTCTGCAAGCCGCATGGTGTTTCTATATGCGTGTACGTCATGCTCGTTCCCAAAATGTGGTTTGTTCGGTCATACATCAGCGCGAGTGTAAATGTTTTTACGTAGGGCTGAAAGGACGTACGAAGGCATTTGGCCTTGCTCGGTTGCATGTGCATTGTAATAAGATCGGTAAGTGCAACTTTCTGGAGGGCTGCTTATTGTCGTCGTACCTTCCATTCACCAAAATAATTTCGAAGCGGGTGCCGCTTTCTGTTTCAAGCACATCGCAAAATGCTCTTGCCACCCTTTCAAGCATGAGGACTAATAAATGCTGTGTCAATGCAGCGTTTTATTTCGGCTCGGCCATAGAAAAAAAAAGCATGCTGCAGTCTATGCATTTGCGCGCTGTTGGTAAGTGCACTACAACAGCACTGTAGTTTGTCGATCATGCAGGGAGCCGTGGTATCACTACATACAATCTGGCAGTGGTACCACTGCATAGAAATATTACTGTTGCATAAACAGTGACACATCGGTATTTGACCTGTACTTAAAAAAGGGTTACAGCGCGCAATCGTGTGCTTAGATTGAACAGCGCTTTAAAGAGCCAAGACGTTGAAAATTCAATCATACGAATGCGTTTTATATATAGTCGCATAATGTTACTGAAATTTTAATCTTTTTTGCATTGTCTTCAGCGTTTGTGTGGCATTGTTAGTGACCGACAGAAGGTATAGTGACAACTTTTTGTCTAAAAAAACAAAAACGAAACATGCTTGTTTCATTAAACTAGGCTTTTGTTGTAGTACTGTCATGCACGTAATCTATCGATTAAATCTTTCTGCTGAACTCTTACATAAGATTTTTATATTTTTACTGGTGCAAGAACATGTGCGTACACCTGGTAAACACAGCGTATCGAAAAGCGTCGCCAGCCACTAGGCTTTCCTTACTAGACTCATCGACTGTCCCACATTTCATAGTGAACAGAATGAGAGAAAAGAAATCATATGCGTTAAAGGTGCGGACGGTTGTACTGAAATAATCGCACAGATATGCCGGCTTTCTACGACCTTTCTTTATTTTCTTTAGTACGCAGATGACAAATATGAAAATAAGTAGTTCAGTCACGCTACAGCAGTGCGCAGCAGGCGGAACGCCAGCTAACCACGTGCAAACAACACATCAAAGGCGTCATTTAGTGGGAAAGCGCGACGACAGTCTAACAGGGCGAGTATCCCTTTGAGAGGCAGAATGCGCTTTACTGGCGGATAATGTTAACGTTGCATAGGCGTCGCGCACCGATTCAGCAGAGAAGAGCGCAGATTTTAACAGTAAACTGTAGTGAACCCATTTTAAACGCCGACATTCGGCTCAAAATGCATGCAATGAAGCGCCGTTGCGTGTATAGTTGTATACGCGCCACCAACCGCCTATCCACACTTGCGCGTACACGGTGCTGCCACCTATTCGCGGCAGTAGGTTGGTATTCGCAGATCTCGCCGCGTATACCAGCCCCACCAGTGGTAGGCATGTAAATTATGCCGTACATGGTTTCCATGTCATTATTTTCATCTGTGCGCCTGGCACTTGTGTTCTTCGTCCATTCACATCATGTAGCGCCAAATCTAGTCTGTGTGATGCTAGCGAAACCACCGCGAGCGCGATATGAGCGTGCATGTGGTGATGCTTTGCATGGCATGCATGTCATGATTATCATGTTTGAATGTGTCACTTACCTTTTTCGTACATTCACGTCACATAATACCAAATTAGGTATGTGAAGCTAACTAAACCGCCGCGAGCACATTATGAGCGTGGCATTTAGTCATGTCCTTACATGACGCGCATGTCATGATTATCATGCTTGCACCAGTCATGTATCATCGTCATCCATTCATGTCCCGTAATACCAAATTTGGTATAAGTGAAGCTAGTGAAACGGCTGCGAGCGCTATGAGCGTAGCATGTAGTCATGTTTTACATGACATGCATGTCATGGTTATCATGTTTGGACATTCAATTCTGAATGTGATGCTTGCACATCTATTGTACATCTAATCAAATGCCTGCACGTACCTCTAAAGGCTGGTTAAGTCAATCGAAACCTGATTCTTTTGTGCAAAACTGTTGCTCCTTTGAAGAATAATTGCGAGAGCGCGGTTACTCCTTCGCAGTTACTCCCAAAATGGGTGTGGCAGGTTAGTTACTCCTCTAAAAGAGCAACTGGGATACCCAATTTCCTTTTTTTTTTACTTTTTAGAGTGTAGATAGGTACGCTTAATGTCACCGAAGTTCGCTAAAAAGTGCTTCGTATTTGAAAGCGTACGATACAGTGTTGTTATGGGTTGATGTATGCGCGTAGGTTACAATTTATAGTTTTGGGAGCTATGCACATGTGACGTATTACGTTGCGTGAGTACATATATGTTCAAACTGTATCGGTCACGAAACTTGGAACGATAAGTGTCAAAAACGCATTGCCACAGGCATAAACTCCCGCCGCTTATTGAAGCACGACGAGGGGAGGAGGGGACATATAACCAAAACCAAAAACTCAATGGAATTTTTTCTTCGAGTAGTCGTGTTTTATAAATGCCAAAGTTGACTAATAATTGCTTCATCTGACATTTGGCTAAATAAATGAGTGCCTCTTTTTTTTGCCGATTTCCACAACAAACGGGAGGCGTATCCAGGCGGTCTGCTATCAGGGCTTGTGTTTAGGTCGGTGCTTGCCGGGTCAACGACGTATCGCTCACTTTTACGTGTGGATTCACTGCATACTTTTGTTGTTTTAGGGGCGAAGCTCCTTAGGGCGTGGGCTGTGCGTCCCCTGTAGCCTGTATGTAGCCACCTCTAGTTTAGTTCTTGCAGTGTTCACTAGATGGCGGTACCGTCCCCTGTATGTAGCCACCTCTAGTTTAGTTCTTGCAGTGTTCACTAGATGGCGGTACCGTCTCCTGTATGTAGCCACCTCTCGTTTAGTTATTGTAGTGTTTACTAGATGGTGGTACTTGTAGCTGATGATGAAAAGATGCAATATGTTATAAACTAGAAAGCGGTACTTGTAGTTGATGAAAGACGCGAGATCTTATAAAATAGGAATGATGTCACATATGGCGCGTGTCATTGGTTGAAGGCGATCGTTCGATTTAGTGCGGCGACGTACGCTAGGGGGAGCGATGTAATAAAATCGAGTGGGAAAAATGTACAGAGGATTCATGGTTTACCAGGTTTACCTCCGGAGCTTCGCCCACTCATCATCATTCACTTCGTGGATATGGCGGAATTTTTTTATTCGTGTGCTATTCACTGGCGTTGCCTGTTAGAGCTGAACTATCCCACAGAATGTTTAAATAGCCACTTCGATGAACACCAACTCTGGCGCACAGCTGATGTGCTCTCGTCTTGCGTCACGATGAATGTGACATGGTAAGCGACAAAATGCTCTAAAGTGATATTCTCTAGGCTGCTGTCACTGCGGCGGTTTTCCACGATTGGACACCGCGAGTTTTTGAATTATTGCGCTATTGTACTCACGGACAGTTGTATCACATTTCGTCAAAGTTTTTGGTGTATATTGCAAGCCCACGATTTGGGTAGTAAGACAACTTTGCTTCTTCAATTTTTCTTGTTGGTCTTCCTTTCCTCTGACGTAAAGCCGTAAAACACTGCCTCCTCAGTTTTGTCAATGTCCGCCAGATACAAAGAAGGAGCACGGAGGAGCAAATCTGACAGACGTATATTGGAGTGTGAAACAGGTTTGTCACATCTCCATGGGAAATCGCTTTGAAGCATGTGTGACGCAAGCAGCGCATTCCCCCGTGTAGCGTGGCAGGCGGAACGACGGCTGCAGTTGACAACAGCGCGTTTGCATTGGCATTGAAAAGAATGAAGAAGGTGTTGCATTAAGACGCGATAAAATCGCGTATTAACCAAAAGGCATGTAAAACATCAGCAATTAAAAAAATAACTTTATGCCATGTAGGGCAAGTGCATGCCGTCGCTAAGGCTTCGTGTTGTGACGTCACTTTTTATTTTTTATTTACTGTTAGTTGTCCCCTTCTTTCGTAGGTGACGACGATGGCAATGAATCGCCAACTACTGGATACATAGGCTTCTCAGGAAGTGACTCTACCACTTCCCATATACCTTGGTACATACCCTAGCAAGATCAGCGAGTAATAAATTTTTAAAAGTTAGCGCTACGTTGTCTTGAATGTGCCTTCTTTTGTCTGTGTCCTTATTCACCCTCTTCGGACTCCCCAAGTTCTGTTAAACTGATTTTGGATTTTGCGTCGGCGCATTCTAGGCTCGCGAATTTGTATTTCGTGCCTGACGTGCGCATCGAAGAAATCAAGCTCTCCCATGTTGAGGGAGTGTGTAAAAAAGATACCACGATTCGAACCAAGTGTCCTATATCGCAACTACATTGTATAATACCCAAGAACCACCGAATCCTTTAGTGATGTCAAAACCATTGGGACTGCTTCCATGTGGAGATAGATGCACGATAGCATTGCCTTCCAAGCTATCATGCATGCATGACCACAGAATGCCCCGCCGCGGTGGTATAGTGGCTAAGGTACTCGGCTGCTGACCCGCAGGTCGCCGGATCAAATACCGGCTGTGGCGGCTGCATTTCCGATGGAGGCGGAATTGTTGTAGGCCCGTGTGCCCAAATTTGGGTGCACAATAAAGTACCCCAGGTGGTCGAAATTTCCGAGCCCTCCTCTACGGCGTCTTTCATAATCATATGGTGGTTTTGGGACGTTAAACCCCACAAATCAAATCAATCAATCAATGACCAAGAATGTCATCCCCGAGTGTCGAATAAGTTCATTACAAACAACTGCATGGTTTATTGTGCGAACTGGCGAGAATTTGACTAAGGAAATATGTATTTCAACAGTATCAGTGCTTTTGCTTGATTCAAGATTTCAGCGCAACGTGTGCTATCGCTGTATTGCAGATGTGCCGGCGGGTGTTCATATGCTTCCTGGTGTGCGGCGTTGTAGCTGCGGTGCTGATTGGCTTCTTCAACCAGGGCCCCGATCCGTTTAAGGTCAATAAGACGGGCTACTGGGGGACCGCCAGCGTAAAGAATGGTGAGAGCACTGCACGCATGCAAAAATGAACGCGCTTTCACCACGCGTGTCGTGCAGACATGTGCAACAGGCGAGTAAGTTCTTGGGATTTTTCATGCAGTCGAATTGCGTACACAAAAAGTGCAAGCAGGAAATCTAGTAGGGAAGCATTCAAACGAACAGCTCAAAAAGCTATCACACCGTGTGCTTCTACGAAGGTTTCTTTTTTTTTTTTTTGAATAACGAACACTTTCACCGATTATGGTATATAGAGCGTCCCTCACTGCACGCTTCTCTTGGAGTTGAGAAAAATCGTTATGCCCTTGGGTAGCAATGGTTTCAGCCAGTGCGTCCAACGACACTGTAACCATAAAGCGTACCAGGCTATAACGTCTTACCGGAACTGAACCACAAAGTGCATTTCTATAATAAGCACGTGCCTCAATCCAAATCAAACTAGAAAAAACCCAACGAGTAAGAAAAAGAGCCAATGGTTCGATACTAAACGGTTCCACCATATTCATCAAGGGCTTTATATGCGTAGTAGATGACATTTGTGTGCGCGTTAGAAAACCACAGGTGGTCGAAATTTTTTGAGACCTCCCATACGGCGTCTCTCATAATCTTATGGTGGTTTTGGGACGTTAGACCACACGTATCGATCAATCAATCAATAAATCAATCAATCAATGAGCGTAGTATGTTGGCGCAATGATCCGGTGTGTCGGGGGAGTTTCCACGTCTCTGAATATTTGTATGAAGCGTCGACTTAATAAAGATTCCAAGAGAAGGCGGGTTCATAGCTGTTTTTTCGTGGCGTTGGCAGTCGCTCAACTTCAATCAATGTTCAGCTAGTGTGTTGATGGCCGCAAGTCCTTTTCCTTTGTCAATTTGATGCCATAGCGTTAAAGCCGACGTCAATGTTGGCGTTGGTGGTTGTTAGCGAAAAATAATCCCGTACGTGATTGTAAAGTCTAGAAATACAAATAAAACAAATAAATAAATTCGGCAGAACCCACATACCTTGGTAATCGACGTTATGCGAAGCAGGCAAAGGAAAGGTCACGTATCTTTTTATTGAACGAGACGTCATGAAAGGACGCTAAACATATGTATAAATGTTGCACGCACAGACATATGTTGAAGAGTTTCAGCAGATGTTTGTATAACCAGTTATTTGCACTTGTGCAACGATGTCAACAGGAACACAAGTATTAGCAATATCATAAGCGATAAACTGATTCGAAGCGCTGGTGCTCGTGAGCGCGATAGCCGTTGACACCGCTACATAAATCAATTTCAGCGCATGGTACGTAACTACAATTGACGTTAGCCCAACGAGACGGCTGTATCACAGGAGTACTCATGCAATGTTTGTAAAGTTGGGCAGCCAGCACTGCAACCGCAAATAACGTTTGACGAACACTGGGGTATAATCTAAAAGTATAGTTCCCGAGACCCGGCGTGGCTCTGTGGTAGAATGCTTGATTGTCGCGCAGAACGCTCGGGTTTGATTCCTGCTGGGACCCTGACACTTATCATTCGCATTATTCGTCGGGTCAATGCTGTCGTTGTCAGGTTTTTCCTAACCCTCACGCGTTAAAATTGCCCGTGTGGGTTCTCGTCGTTCCTGCGTAGATACTAAGTGTCAGTCACCGATGTCAGATACCGGCATGCCTGTGGAACATACCCTCGCGCAGGTATGTGCCAGTGATTAGCGGGAAGTGTTTCACGATGTAGGCGACTTGATTGTGACTATTTATGTCCTGGGCAGCGCGTCATACTCGTCAAAGTAGCCTACTCTCCCATACTTACTTTGACTCACGCCAAGTTAAGGGGGTGAGCACGATAGATAGATAGATAGATAGATAGATAGATAGATAGATAGATAGATAGATAGATAGATAGATAGATAGATAGATAGATAGATAGATAGATAGATAGATAGATGTCTGTTACACAAAGAGCTTTCATCTTCTTGATGCGTACATGCATATCCCATACTTATTTTGTACGAGAGCCGTGCAAATCCGTCATGTTTGTCATCCTGTGACCTCCGATACCCTACGCGACCTCGGTGCCAGGCTCTCTTGGCGCTCTTCTTACCACAAAAGTTACAGTTCATCCTTGACAAAGGCCTTAAATTTGCGATGCAACCCTATTGAAAACCTTTAAAACTTTTGAGCTTCGTTCACGACGTGGCACGTAGGGTTCCAGAAGATGTGAAATATGCTTGCATTGTAGAGGGTATCAATTGTGTCAACGAACATCCTTTGCGTAGACAGAGAAGCGAGAATATGAAAAACGTGGTAAAATCTTTAAAATATCAGGACCTGACGTTAGAATTGTCGGACAAGACGGGAAGATTTGTAGTTATGTGGGCAGATCAACACCTGGATAAGGCTAGGGAAGCAGTTGAAAAAAAAAAAAAAACTTCTCAATAGTGGATCTCGATGGCGCATCGTTGAAGAACATTCACAAGAAAGCCGCCACCTTGTGTAAGTAACTGGGACTACAGAAGCTGAAAAAAGACCTTAAGGGTTGTAACGGGACGACATTGAGGCCCTTCTTCACTACTGAAACACACAAGCAAGAAAATTTGTTCTGGATGATCGTTGAAGATAAAGGTACTTGGCAGCACATTATAGCTAGATTTCTTAAACGAACGTTGAAACTCATCGCAGGGGATGACCCTTTTGGTGTGAGCAACTCAAATGGTGTTATTGAATTCCTAAAGAAGGGACAGTCGGTCACGTGAATATTTATGGACGTGAAGGACATGTATTACAACATCCCACGAACTGAGGCCATTAACGACGCTTAAGGGGTTATTAGGTTTCAAAATGTGTGTGGGACTAGTGTTCGTGATTTTTTTATATTTGCTGCGCATTTACCTACGGTCGCTGCACGTGGAATTTCATGGATCCATTTTTGTTCAGAAGGACGGTATCTGCATCGCATCATGCCTGGCACCGATCTTATCGAACTTGTACATGGTGAAAGGAGACCGCGATTTGCAACCCCGATTGTAAGGATACGGCACTGTGGCATGTTTTCATTACACTGATGGTTTTTTGTTATGTTTTTCTAGGTCAAAAACTGCCTGCATAAAACCCGACAATATTGTCGTTATGTTCAAAGTACATACCATGGTCTTGATTTCACTTACGAGTTGTCCCTAAGTTCTGGCATAAAATTTTTAGACATCACAATTTCACAAGGTGAGGGACACACGAGCTGGGAATATGATGTTAGAGGGGATAAAAGTTTGTTGAGCTGTAGCCTGGGTCACTCCAAGCTTGTGAAACGACGTGTCGTGTAGGCGTTCATGTTAAACAGCTGTCAAAAGTCCTGTGACAACATGGTAGCGCGAAGTTTGATGAAGCAGTTTACTAGACTCGGGGACAGTGATTACGCGGGTGCCTTTATCACTGTCTTGGCTGAGAGGCTCTTGAAAGCCATCGGCAACACGCATAAAATGAACGTAGTATTAAAAGAGAATTCAAAAGAGAGGCCTATTGTTATGCCGTACGTTCGCGGCATTTCGCTCGGACTGAAAAAAAAATTGCAAGTAGGCATGGCATACCCATGAGCTTCACGGCACCTCACAAATTATTCTCACTTTTGCACCAAGTAAATGCCAACAAATAAAAGAACAACCAAACATGTTCTGTGAAGCATGTCAACATCTTTGTACCACAAGAAAAAGATGTTGTATATGGTACTCCTTTGCCATGCGGAAGTTGGTAAGTTGGACAAACTGATAGGTGTCTTGATTCACGTTTACACGAGCATGATTACAACTGCAAGAACATTAGTCACCCCGGTAACTTAGCTACCCATTGCATGAAGTGTCATTGTGGGCCAAATTTCGAACACAAAATTGTTTTTATCAATATCCGAAGACACAAAGACACAATATCCGAAGACACATATTGTTTTTTTAAATAACAAAGGAAAACGAAATTATTGAAGCTTTCATGATGCGCAGGCTCGGTGAAGACAGGTGTGTTAGTGCGCCATCTATTCGTTTGTCCAATGATGAATATATTTTTTTACGTGGATATTTTAAATAGATGACAATGCCAGATATGATGTCGCGCAGATGGTGGCTTTCTTGTGGCGGGCATTGCACAGGTTTACGCTCTTTCTTTTCTTTTCACTTTCACCCCATATATGTTTCTCACATTTCCATCGAATAAGCAGTTGTTAAATGGCACTTGTGTGTGTCCTACTTGTGCTACAGTGTGCCTTTTGGTGTTCAATTTTAGCACGTCGTGAGTGTCGACCAATCCTTTGCCTCGTGTTATGAATTTTAAAAGCATGAAATGTAAAGGAACGGGTATAAGTAGGCCCCTCTTAAAGCGCTGCATGGCACGATAGACAATCGTCATTTCGCTATGAATGGGAGCCTAAGCCAAGCTCTAAAAAATATATCCTGGGGCCATGCCAGGGGGGCTCGGCTCTCCATAATACAACCCGAAAAAGACCCGAGCCCTTCCGCGTTCTCCCCGCCTATAGTGAGACCCGTCCATGATACAGCCCAGAAAAGGATCGAGCCCTTCAGCTTCCCCCACCCTGTATTCTCCACCTATGGTCAGATCACTCCATGATACAGCCTGTAGATGGCCCGATCCCTTCAAGTCCTCCCCCCCCCCCCCCCGTACTCTCCGCCTAAGGCCAGATGAGTCAGACCCAAGTATTTTGTAATAAGCCTTCTGTGTAATTACCAGGGGGTGATTCCACGAGAGATGGACACGGGTCCAAAAGTTCATATTTTAGATTTCATTGAGCATTTTATATTTCGTGTACCTCTCACCAGGTAGCCCGAAAGTCATATTCGTTTTATTATTAATGACATAACTTGCGAGAAAAAAAAATATCAAACTTCACCAACATGGAGGCACCAACTTCGTCACCTGTCATTTTCGAAAATCGCAGATGCTATAAAAAGACAAATATTTTTGTTTCAAGGAAAATATTTTTTACCTCAAATGTATGTCTAATGAAGAATGAATTCATGTGGTTTCAAGTTTGCCGACCTTAAGAAAATAGCTTTTTAAAATGTCTAACTTGGCGACTGTTGAATATAAGTTACGTATTCCCCATTTCCTTTCCCCGAAAGTAATGCAAGCAGCGTTTTCAAACTGGAAACGTTTTAAGGAAATAGTGTGTTCATTAGGTACATAAATTATTGCTGCTGTAGGGCAAATGTAAATTTTTATATATTGCATCAAAGTTCTCATATTGGCAAAAGTGTACTCCACTGAAACTTGAATAATAAAAAAAACCCATCTTCGATTTTTCTTAAAATATCGTTAATAGACAACCGAAGGCCATCATACAGTAATATAGAAAAACATGTTGCATTATTTTGTTTTTAGCGACAATATTCGTGGTACGAATCAGAGCTTTTCGAGAATACGCTGATAAGTGGAGAAATCTAGAAATCGGAATGGAAAAGCGGCAATAAGGTTCAAACGCGAGTAAATGTGACCGCATTTGGTGAAGAAAGGCTGTTTTAGCACTGTGACAAATACGTACCCATGAAGGCGCATTTATGCTCCTGATAACACAACTCTAATGCAGGAAATCTTCGACACTGTAACGCAGTTGCAAAACATCTGTCTATATTTGCAGATAAACTCAAACATGAAAATGTTCCGACGCAAGCGTTGGGTCTCGCAAGAAAAACCATATGTGCTTGAAGTACCTTCACTGGTATTTTGGTGGTGACTGCGTGAAACAAGAGATGCGCTCAAAATGGCTGCATCTTTTGCAGATCACACTTAGCAGTACGTGACGCTAACAAAACACGACCACGATCAGTGCCCTCGGATGTGCTTAGCCAAACATGCCAAGGCATCTTGCTTAGCCAAACATGCCAAGGAATGCCTGGAAGACGTGGCAACAATTTCCACTGGCTCTTCTTAAACTGATGGAATGTTTCTAGGTCGTCTGCATTTGCACACAGCAGCTTGACATTCTTGAGCTTCGCGCTCATTTGCGCCACCATTTGGGATGATGACATAATCACAGCTGAGCTTGCCGCTCTGAGGTTGTAGAGCGTAGCCTGATGTTTTAGTAGGCCACCAACGCTGTCACAAGAGTTCTTGCCATGTCCTGTGGCCGAAAAAATCCACTCTGTTGATATATGATCTTCCTGACATAACTCGAACAATTGGTACTTGTTTTTGAAGTGACTGCATGCACCATCAGAAACATAAGTAACATACGTATCAGGCTTAGGTTGTTCCTTCATATAGTTGTGGATTATTTGTAGAGCAAAACAGGCATGTGCAGCATCATGGCATGTGTCATCACTGATGACGGCAAAACTTTGAATTGATTGCTTCCTTGTCACGACACACGTGAATATAGACACCTGTCTTTTGTGCCAGTAATACGACTGTACCTCATTCGGTAAAATGCTGTCCAATTTTCGGCGAAATCAAAGTGGAAAATGCAAGATTCATTTTCTTGGTTTTCTTTCGCCTTGCGTATTGCTGATTCTTGAATGTATCTTATGTAATCATGGGTAATCCACTTCAAGAACCATAGACTTAGCTCTCGCAGAAAAGCACTTGCCTGGGATGTTTTTTTTTTTTACTAGATCGCAATTTTCCCATACTGCATAGGCTACCTCAATATCTTTAGGAATTCCTAAACATGTGGCTGTCAGAGCGTCCTCCTTAGCACAATAGTCACAAAGGCCTAAAAAAAGATCACTTGTAGGGGAGCTGCAAAGACATAGTTCTTTCAAGAAGTCCGCCGTGTTGGCACCATCGGTGACGTCTTGTAGGGCAGAAACACACTCCGTGGCATTAGCACAGTATATACAAAGGCACACTTCTTGGTGTGGTGCAAAAAGAACCGACTTTGGCCTCAGTGAATGAAACTTTGAGAGCCCAATTGACGTGTTCGGATTAGCTTCTCTGAAGAGACAGTAAGCCTCTTGCACCGAACGGGTCATAAACCTTTTTGAAACAAGCTCATTTTTCCGTCAATGATAACAGATACTACATCTTTTTTGTTATGACTCTGCCGAGAGCAGCTATACTCATCTTTAAAGTAGTAAGCCATAGCTGCCTGGACGTCCATCGTGTTCAGCCATGCCCTTTTTACCGCATTTGGTGCCAACCATATCCCGTGTTTTGCGCGCCAGCGTCGGGATCTGTATATCATGTAAGCTGACAAGTTTGGTATAAGCGCTTGGAGTTTTCGGCGCTCTATATCGCTCGGCAACGGTGTCAACAAACGCATGCGCTCTTGATACGAAGAACACGCTTCATAGGCTTCCTTGAAGTTCTTGAACCTTTGGGCACACACACTGCATTTTAAATCTGATGGTTGAAAGTGGCGGTTACACACGTTATGGTGACATTTCATGGTTACTGTAGAATTGCTGCTAAGTTTTCTTGGCTCTGCATGAACTTTGCTATTTTGCGCATGCAGCTTCTCCAGTCGCATATATGACAATGCTTCAGGCGTGTTTACGCACCACTCTTGACTTCTGCCTTTTTCTTCTTCCGGCAAAAACTGATCAGCTGTTTCAGCTGAGAAGCCATTAGACGAAGACAGCATATCTCTGAGGCGTCTGAAGCAGTTCTGGCAGACGTGGTCGTTGTTATGTGCATGGCGGGCAGCTTTCGGCAAAAACTTCTGGAGGGCAAACAGGCCGATGTCTTCGAGCTTGCGGAAGTTTCTTTGATGGGGTATTTTCTTTTTATGCAACATCAGGTAATCTGAACAAAAAACTCTATCCCGGCTGAAGTGGTCAGCCATCGCCACGCTCCTTCAGGCTCAAATTACTGGTAATGCAACTATGCGTGAAACCAGCAGCACGAAAGTGATCTAACTGTAGTCTGTTCCTATGTCTCTCACCTTTAATGAGAGCAGACGTAAAACAGCGTGCGCAAGTATCCACAGTGCGAATGCAAAACTGAAGTATAGTACGTTAAAATGAATTTCACAATGTTTTTGTCGATAAAATTACCGGAGGCGTAATCTTTGTCCCTACTTTGAACCATATGATCCAAAGCATTGCCTCCGAGATGCGGCGCACAGCAATTCATTTGTAGAGCAGACGACAGATGACAACTTGCCCTAAAGCGTGTTCTTCAGTCTAATGCGGCAGTCTTCGTGCCCCAAATGATAAAAATTTGTTATGAATCGTTTATGAACTCATTCAACATTCAATCCTCTTACCCAACGTGTTGCAAACACATGGCCGTCAAAGCAGCTCCATCTGTGTGTCAGTAATGGAGAGGCACCACATATTAGAAGTCTCAGTGCTCTACGTAAAAGAGTAAATTCAGATACTGTAGAATATCGTGTTCAAAATAGTTACTCCTATCTGCTAAAACAGCCTTTCTTCATTAAATGCGGTCACGTTTACTCGCGTTTGAAGCTCATTGCCGCTTTTCCGTTCCGATTTCTAGATTTCTCCACTTATCAGCGCATTCTCAAAAAGCTCTGATTTGTACCACGAATATTGTCGCTAAACACAAAATAATGCAACATGTTTTTCTATATTACTGTATTAAGGCCTTCGGTTGTCTATTTACAAGATTTTAAGAAAAAACGATGGTGGGGTTTTTTTATCATTCAAATTTCAGTGGAGTACACTTTTGCCAATATGAGAACTTTGAGGCAATATATAAAAATTTACATTTGCCTTACGGGAGCAATAATTTATGTACCTAATGAGCACACTATATCATTAAAACGTGTCAAGTTTGAAAACGCTGCTTGCATTACTTTCAGAGAAAAAAAAAGGGGGGGGGGGGAATACGTAACTTATTTTACACTGTCGCAAAATTAGACATTTCTAAAAGCTATTTTCTTAAGGTCTGCAAACTCGAAACCGTATGAATTCATTCTTCATTAGACATACAATTCATGTGAAAAATATCTTCCTTGAAACAAAAATATTTTTCCTTTTATAGCATCTGCAATTTTCGAAAATGACAGGTGACGAAGTTGGTGCCTCCGTGTTGGTGAAGTTTGATATTTTTTTTCTCGTAAGTTATGGCGTTAATAATAAAACGAAGTTGACTTTCGGGCTACCTGGTGAGAGGTGCACGAAATATAAAATACTAAATGAAATCTAAAATATCAACTTTTGGACCCGTGTCGATCTCTCGTGGAATCACCCCAGGTAATGCGTTGGTGTGCACGTGGAGAATGGAGAGCTCAGGTTAAATGGTGTGTTGATGCAGTCTGTGTCAAGTAGCATTCAGAGTATATAGCCTTCGGTGTATGCGCTTCTTAACAAAAATTGTCCTTACCGGTGAGCGCGGCTTGAAAATGTCAAGAAAAAAAGAGTCTGGTATCTTGTTCTGAGGCTCATCTCTAGAAATACATATAGTACAAGAGATGCATGAAATTGCACTGCTATTTTTCATCATTTTTCCTCGCTGTATTTCTCCACCGTGTGACGACCAAGCACAATTTGTCTGATTCAGTGCGCGCCGCCCCGGAGGACAACCCGGTGATCTTTAAGTTCTCGGTCCACGCCCCTGAAGAAGCACTGCTGGACCTAAAGCGCCGGCTGGCGTCATCGAAGCTTGCCGAGCCCCTTCAGGAGAGCCGCTTCGAGTACGGCTTCAACGCGCATGAACTTCGCCGAGTCGTTGACCACTGGAAGGATCGGTTCGACTGGCGTCAGCAGGAGCGCCTACTCAACGCCTATGAGCACTACCATACCACCATAGAAGGCATTCGCGTGCATTTTATGTACGCCAGGCCAAAGGCTGACGCGAAGGTACGTATAATTCTTTCAATGCGTATTTCTGATAAAGATGTACGGTACCTTAGCAGCCCCCTTTCAAATGAGGGCTTAGCAAACAATGGCGTAGCCAGTATTTTTTGGTTAGCTATACACTGGAGGTAATAAAATAAAACAAAAAGCTCTATTCAAATCAGGTTCTTTTTAGGGGCGAAGCTCCTTAGGGCGTGGGCTGTGCGTCCCCTGTAGCCTGTATGTAGCCACCTCTAGTTTAGTTCTTGCAGTGTTCACTAGATGGCGGTACCGTCCCCTGTGTGTAGCCACCTCTAGTTTAGTTCTTGCAGTGTTCACTAGATGGCGGTACCGTCTCCTGTATGTAGCCACCTCTCGTTTAGTTCTTGTAGTGTTTACTAGATGGTGGTACTTGTAGCTGATGATGAAAAGACGCAAGATGTTATAAACTAGAAAGCGGTACTTGTAGTTGATGAAAGACGCGAGATCTTATAAAATAGGAATGATGCCACAAGTTGATTTGTGTATATACACACACAGCGTTTCTCACGTCTTTACATGATGATCGACTGGGCGAATTACACGGAAGATTCACAGTTTACCGATGAATCCCTCCGGAGCTTCGCCCATTCATCATCATTCACCCCGTGAATATGCCGTAATTTTTTCTCTTTGAATCAAATAGATCAGTGGCTCAATTCAGTAAAATAGAGGGGAAAATTTTATTGCGCCCCTCGGAACGCGCTTTAGCACGTTGTGGGCCGCTCCCACGTCGGAACAGGAAGACCAAGTCTCTCTGCGGCGTCGCGGACCCGTCAGACTGCCCATAACTGTTGTTTGAGTTCGGAGCTGGTAATGGCAGCCTCGCATTTGCGCGACGTGATGACTTCGCCACAGCATAACGTGGGGCACCGCCAGAGCACGTGTTTCAAGTTAGCTATAGCTGCTCTCAAGAAACATGTATTGGTTGAATTTCAGGATGTATCTTGCGCAATAACGCTCGGTTAGGGTACGCCCCGATCCTGAAAAAGTCTGAATGTCAGAGTCTGAGGCCTGCTAAATTTTCTGTGTGCTGGAAGGTATTGTCTCCACGCCAGGTGAAAGTGTTTTGCCAGTTCAATATACAAAGTGGGAGGATCCTGAATCTCTAAAACTTCAGCTATGGGCTCACCAGAAGCTACGTGGTGTACTAGTCCTCACACAGGTATGTGGGCTGGTTGATTGAGTATGGACGGGGTTCTCTCAATCCGTCCCATGTGAGCTGGGAACCAAACGAGTGTTTGTGGATTAGTATCACTGTCCCGAAGGAACCGCAAAGCTGGTTATGATATGCTGCTCTTGGCTAATGCACTGACTGCCAAACTTGAGTCGCTGTTAACTGTGGACCTCCTGTTGTCCAGCGAGGCTAACGCAATCGCCACTTGCTACGCTACATCAGCCACCGTCGTCCTGATTGTTGCCCAGTTGTGATTCTGGCCTTGTGACCCATGGATACGTACTGCCACATACGACTTCCCCTCGGGATACTATAGTCCGCATCGACGAAGCAATAGTTCCAGGCGTGTTCTTGAGCGCTTTCTAGAAGATCCTTTGCCCTAACCCATCTCTTACACTTGTTATGCTCGGGGCGTACGTTTTGTGGGATGTGGACAATGGTCGTTTGTTGTCGCTGTTGTCTAGAAACGCTGTAGGAGTGGACTAACTTTTCGTCGGTGAAATACTCAACTTGGCAACCCTTATCACTCTGATGGTACCGTGAGTTTTTCTAGCGAGTTTTGTTACCATCGGTCTATTGGAGCCGTTTGATTCAATGGTCATAACCAGAACCCGTAGGGAGTCGACCTTTGGTACGAGGCAGCCCTACCTATCCCAAGAGTAATGCTGACGTCCTTTATTGGATTTCTATCTCTAGGTTTGGGGCCTTTGCGCTTGAGCCTGCACAGAATCAGTTCCGAATTCCGCGACGTTCCGGAGCGGAGACCAGCCGGTCTTAGGTGAATCTCTGTGACCGCCACAGCTTCTTGTAGCACATACTCTGTTCGCCTTTCACTGCCTCCAGTACCCTGCAGGGGCGCCTGCGCAAGCAGGCGTTCGGTGTGTAGCGACACCACGGACCCGTGCTAACGGGGGGGGGGGGGGGGGGGTTCGACTCTCTTCCACGCCTAGCCGTGCGTGGCTTTGCCGTGTCCGGAAAAAAATGAGATCCTAAGGGTTGAGCTGACACCGGGTAATTGGACCTTTAAGGCCCCCCCGGCAGAGGCAACACAACCCTTTGGTCCCGCTTCACGTAGACAGCACCCCTGGGCTGACCCACCCAGGAGAAATCGGCAGTCGACTTTTCTTATCACTATCTACCTACATCTTCGTCGTTATCTCTCACTTTTTATCTGTTCTGTCGTCTTCTATTTTTTGTTTACTTTCCAAACTTTCTGGCGGCGAGGGTTAACTCTATGTAGTACCCAACCTTGGGTAGTTATATTCGGTTATAGCGGCGATGCCTGGCTGGCGTCTCCAAGTTTTCACTAATCAACCTTGTAGCGTCCCCTTGTTGGGCTCTGTGGTGGATGGCGACCATCGCCGCCGAACTTTATACTATTTTTATGGCAAAAGCTTTTCCCTCCCTTCCTGATCGCTCCCTAAAAATATGGCGCACCGAAGACACTTTCCTGCCTGACACACCAAAGCCGACATTCCCAAAGTGCCATGTTATCAGCAGTCAAAGCGAAAAGAAGACAGTCTGAGCCATTTCACATTTCCTCGTTTCCAAAACTCTCACAGAAGCAATAGGCCCAGGTTATAAAGTGACAAAGATGGGAAGTGGCGATCTTCTTCCGGAGGTTCGTGACAAAGCTCAGTATGAAAAGCTGTCTAAGCTTGTAGAGTTTGGGGAAACACCCGTTTCGGTGGTCCCGCACAGGTACATGAACACTGTCCGTGGTGTAACGTCCGAAGATGATCTTACTGAGCTTTGTGAAAGTGAGCTGCTCGAAGGTTGGCAGGACCAGAACGTGGTCAAAGTCCAACGAATAACAATAAGGTGCAACAACAAATTGACCCCTACAAAATAAGTAATAATTACCTTTGGAACAAGTGACCTACCAGAATCAATTGAAACCCGCTATTGTAAGCTCCCTGTAAGACCATACATTCCCAACCCTCGTCGATGTTTCAAGTGTCAACGTTACGGTCATGGATCGCAGAGTTGCAGAGGGCGTGCCACTTGCGCAAAGTGCGCATCCATTCAACACATATCTGACAACTGCACCTCAGAAACAACTCATTGTTAGAACTGTGAAGAAGATCACGCTGCCTACTCACGATCATGCCCCGCATGAAAAAAAGAGAAACAAATAGTAGAACTTAAGGTCACATTCAATCTCTCATTCCAAGAAGCATGACAACGTTTCGGACTACACAACTCATCGTATCCCTCCTTCGCAGAGGTGACGCGCCGGGGCGCTGCGCCACATGTCTCGGCACCCGCGAATGTCACACAGTGTGCGGCTTCGGTCGTGCCGCCAGCGCCCCCGGCTTGAGCAGCCTATACTGCAGCGCCACCTGACAAACAGGGCCAGCAGACCCCCGTGTCTGCTGAAACTCGGACCACTGCAAGCGCAGTTACGTCCGAAAGTTTGGTGAATTTGACTGCCGAGCAGGCAACATTCATCACCTCAGAATAGGTGATGGATACAAGTCCCACTCCTCCGGCTTCTCAGACCCCGGAGGATGGGCGCAACTCCTTGGAGCGCGCCAAAAAAGAAAAACCTCGAATCACGGGGCCCCCAAAATGCCCTGTAACGTAACGCAACACTTTAGTACAAACAGCACCACACAACATTAAAATGACACAAATACTGCAGTGGAACGTCAGAGGACTGCTGAGAAACCTCGACGATATCCAGGAACTTTTACACAAACATACACCTAAGGTGCTGTGCGTTTAAGAGACACACCTGAAACCTGAACACACCAACTTTTTACGTCATTACGTTATTTTCCCGAAGGACAGGAATGATTCCATTGTGCCATCCGGTGATGTTGTCATTATAGTCAATCAAGGAATTGCATGCACACACCTACCACTACAAACATCCCTTGAGGCAGTGGCTGTTCAAGCAGTTCTCTTGAATAAGTTCGTCACCTTCTGCTCTCTCTACATACCTCCACAACACCGTCTTGAAAAGCATGAATTACATTCCCTCATAGATGAACTTTCAGAACCCTACCTTGTCCTAGGGGATTTTAATGCACATGGTAGCCTCTGGGGTGACTCGTGCTCCGATACGCGAGGTCGCCTGATTGAACAGTTCCTTTTTTCTTCCGGTCCGTTCCTCCTGAAACAGAAAGAGGCAACATATTACAACATCGCTAACAATACGTACTCAGCAATAGACCTCAGCATAACATTCCCATCACTCCTTCCTCTACTTAAATGGGAAGTCATTAATGATCCTTATGAAAGTGACCATTTTCCTATCGTTATCAGCACATCAGTTACAAATACATTTCTTGCACTGGTTCCCAAATGGCTCACCCACGAATCCGATTGGGAAAAGTTTCAAAAAATGACTGTATTAACTTGGACGGACATGGCAGCGTTAAGCATAAAGGATGCTGTGTGCTACTTTACGGCTTTCTTGGTTGATGCAGCAACGAAATGTAGTCCCCAAACATGTGGACCATCAGGGAAACGGCAACTCCCATGGTGGAATAATGAGTGCCATGATGCGTGAAGAAAACAAAATAAAGCATGGAAGTTGCTTAGAGACTCGCCCACTGCCGAGAATCTTGTAAACTTTAAGAACGTCAAGTCACAAGGAAGGACGACGCGCCGACAGGTGAGAAGAGAAAGTTGGCAAAAATTTTTATCAGGCATTAATTCATACACAGATGAGGCGAGAGTCTGGAGCACGGTTGGTAAGGTGGCAGGACGAAAAGCACATTCACTTCCTCTAGTGAACACACAAGGGGAAATGTAACTCACAAGAGTGGAAACTTGGGCTAGTTGGTGCGTAGTCATATTT